TTGGGAAGTTTCAGCTGAATCCAAGTTTGAGCGATTTTCGTCGTAGTAGCACTTTAAATAGCGCATGCTTTGATGGGCGATCAGAGACTTTTGAAAAAATGGGCTGGAGGGTTTCAGCTCTACCATTTTTAAATATTCATTGAACTTTTCATATCTGCCTGTTTCTCCATGCTATCCCAAAGGGTGTTCTGCACTGAGCCCTTGTTTATTGCAATCACACCAATTGGAATGGCCTTAACGCAATCCGTTAATTTTGAATGTTCATTACTTTTCCCTTGGTATAGTGTATCTTATTGACAGGCACCATGTGTAAAAGGAGAAAAGCCAAGAGTGCAGGACTCTACTTTCTTAGCAGGAAACAATGGCATATCACAGTCTGTTTGCCCTCTTCCTCACCAGGGAAAATCAGGCTGGAAACCAATCTTGTACCCAGGCRCTGTGTTTCTTCTTGCCTGATCAAAGAACATTCTTCACCACAGACCAGAAAAAATGAAGGCTCTGGGTACAAGATTGGCATGAGAGCTAAAATGATTTATAATAAAAAACATTCGTGAGACCAGTGGCTCCTCTTTCATATAGGTATTAAAAATATCATATTTACACAGGTTTATTTCTTATGTGTAGTTCCAGAAATTATCCATAACCAACTCACTGAGGAATTTATTTTAAGACCCCTACCCCCCAGAGATCCCAATTTTCTTCCATACARACWCTGTAATTTTTGTTCTTTCTCCAACTCCCCCACCCTTCAGAAATTCCAAATTCCTCTGTTTGGTGGGTCAGGTATGGATAATTTCTGGAACTGCACAATGTATATGTGCTTATCAATGCTAAGCCCCAGGGCTATCTTGTATGTGGGCTACCTCGGGAATTGACATCAATTTTTCAATGCCCTTGCAGTAGGGAATTTGACAAGGTCACCATCTTGAAAAAGCCAGAAAATACAATAAAAATAAAATTGTGGAAATTTGACTTTCATCGGTTGTCCAGGTATGAGGAATTTGAAAATCTCAGATTCAAAATGTCAAATTCCCCTAGGGTTGCCTCCCCCTTACCCTGAGACTTAACATTGATAGATGCATAAGTGTGTAAATAACTCAGCCACAAATATCATGCTTTGACGTCCCAAACGAAACAGACTCGTGCATGCTTCAACTTTCAAATTTATTAATTAATGAAAGACATGTACAAATATGGCAAGTGTGACATTTGAATCCAACTTCAGCCATCATTCATCCCTGATCTTCAGTTATCAAACTTCACGATACAAACAAGCACACTGTATCTTGGAATATTCTATCCATAAGGTTTTGTTATAAGATCAGCTGTTTTTATGTAGTATTTCAGCTTAATAGTTCTTGGGTGGTTGCCACGACTCTATCTTTGGCCTTGTAGTACTATAAGGCACATATTCTCGCTTAGTTCCTGTATAATTCCTTTCATGATCCATAAGAAACTTCCGTTGCACTGGTTTAGATTGTACAGGTGTTTCGTCGGTCATGTAGTGCATCCATCGATGCCATTCAGGAAGGATCTGAGATCCATCGTACTCCAGACGACCAGCATAAGGGTAAACTACCCAACGATTACGACTGAAGAAATACCAGTCATTTTCGTAGTATTTATTGCCATACTTGTCTTCTCCAACACATGTTCCTACTCTAGCTGTTCCTTCTCTAAGAAATCTCCAAAAGGCGCCTTGAACGCCTCCAATTTTCTTCATAAAATCCAACGACTTTTGTATTTTCGACATCTTGAAACCAAGATGGCGGGTCGTAGTTAGTAGTCAGCGGTTATTTGGAAGTTATCGGGAGCATATCGGAAAATGACGGCAATATTCCGTTAAACCTTCGCTTCATATTCGGAAAATAATCGGGAAAGAAATTTGGGTCCAGTTTCCTAGCGGAATTGCATATGGCGGACGTACACGAGACGTTCTACTGAAGAAAACTTTTAGAAGTCGTAAAAAAACTGGCTCAGAACTTGTGGATATTTATACGAAATTAGCAATAAAGTATCACTTGTGTCCTTCTTCAAAATGGTAAGTTATAAAATTGACCTGCTTGGCTGTTGTTGTTGAGAGTTAGTGTTTGTAAGTTTAGCCTTTTTTGACGCCAAGTTTACTAATAAATGTTACTATTGTTACTTAGGCTCGAAACGCAGAAAAAGCGATGTAAGTAAATATGTTACAAATAGTGTTATTGTTTGTTTAGATCGGAAGAGAGATGGGTTGAATTGCAAGTGTATAAGCTATTCTGAAATTCTAATGTCAAGAGCTGGCCCCAGGGGGATTTGGTGTGGGGGAGGTTGGGGCTGACCCCAGGGGAATTGGACATTTTCTGAATTCAAAATTTACAAATCCCCTTTGGGCTGCTCATTAATTTCCCCCTTGTGGGGCCACTTTGGTATCCTCAAGGTGCTCAGGAATGCTGCATGCTGCATTATTAGTCCACTTCCGAGATATGTTTCACTTGTCACGCACAAAGGTTTCAGTATGAGTCTACGTGCTAAATGCTCAGTCATTCATGACAGGCGGTAAGAATATAAATTTAATTTAGCATATAGCCTCATACTGAAACCTTTGTGCGTGACAATCAATGCATATCATATCTCAGAGGTGGGCTATTCAGTATGTCTTTATAAAAAAGAAAATTCTTTGTAGGAATGTCGTTCTTTCTCTATCCTAGATTTTATCTGCTTGATTCAGTTTCTGTCGCTACTACTTATTGGTCTCCATTGGCTTCCAGTAAAAGCTCAAATTGATTACAAAATAATTCTGACTGTTTTTAAAACACTAAACAACATGGCTTCTGGTCTATATAACTGAACTTCTTAAAAGATACAATCCACCGCGCACACTACGTTCTGCTAATCAAAATCGATTAATCATTCCAAAAACTGCCAGTAAAACTTACGGTGACAGAGCATTCTCAGCTGCCGCCCCCGCTCTCTGGAACAAAATTCCTCAAGAGATAAGAGCCTTGAGCTCACTTAGTTTGTTTAAATCTAAATTAAAAACTTATCTATTTCGTAAATATTATTATCTATAGTTTATACCTAGCAATCATTTTATTCCATGTATTATATTATCTTTTTAAAGAAATTGTAATATTATATATAGTTGTTAACCTGTCATTTTTAGTGTAATTTCTTTCTTCTATTGTAAAGTATTGAAACTTGTTAAATACTCAATAAATTATTATTATTATTATTACTACTTTGCATCTTGTATGCATGATACATTCCTACAGTTATTAGTGCCCCACTAATTAGTCCTCAGCTAGTTTTTAGAACTTGAAAGCAGTTATTGAATTGATTGGTGTTGATGGTAACTTTGCTCTTTCTGCAGGACTATGCTGTCTCGATGGTATGATGTCAAACGAAAAGAGGCAGGCAAGGGTGTTCAGGTCAGTACCTACTATTACTATACTTTAACTCACTTTCTTGCCTCTGATTGGCTGGGAACATTAAACCTAGCTTAATAAGCATGTAAAATTGATGGCTTTATCAATTACATCTCAGGCTTGGTCTTGATATTTCAGATATCATGGTTATCCATATTAATGTTGCTTATTATCATTCATTATCATTATCAATAGCTTAAGTTGGTACATGTATGTAGTTATTGTCTGACTCAAGATCAAAAATACAGATACAGTAGATTTACCTTTCTGAGGCCACTTGAATGATGATCTCAGATAAGATTTTCTGGCTCTCCCAATATCTTATTATTATCATTTGTATCATCATGGAAAGCATGTGTGGTGGAGTGTGGTGAGAGTGCTTGCCTCTCATCAGTGCAACCCAAGGTTCAAGTTTTGCCTCCTTGGTTGAAACATTTTTCTGGAGCCACCTATTGTAGGGGTACTTGCATGTACTTAGATTCGGTTAATTTTAACAGGTGTACATTTACTTTACCATTGACACTATTAATATTTGTATAGGAGAGAAGACCATTTTTAGCTACTGAGTGTGACAATCTTCAAGAGGCAGAAAGATGGAGACACCAGGTAAAATCCCTGCAGCTGAACTTATTTCTTCGATTATTTGTGGTACTTTAAAGAGGCCTTGCACCATCACATGATGCCAGCCGTACGTGACAGGAGGCAAAACAATAGAGTCTTTTTCCCCAGGGAAACTGAATTCTTTCTCATGTATACTAGCTGAAGATCAGATTCAATTGTTCCTGCTTCCTGTCATGGCTACTAATTATAATTTATCGCTTAGATCGCTTATTCAATGTGATGATCAACACATCTAACATTATTACACCACAGTTCTATCCATTCAATTCACACTTATTACCTATAGTGGCTTGATGAACCAAACAAAAATGACCGCTCACCAACAGGATTGGCTTCATAGCTCAGTTGGTAGAGCATCACACCGGCATCGCGGAGGTCATGGGTTCGATTCCTGTTGAAACCTGAAATCATTTTTTCAGGTCTTTCTTTACAGCGTTTGCTTAGATCGCTTATTCACTGTGATGATCAACATTCTAACATAATTATAATTTAATCTACAAACATAAGCAGGATTATTATAGTAAATTATGTCTTATCTATAGGGGGCTAGATTGCATAGATGCAAGTTCTGTTTCTTTCCCCTGTCACACTCCAAATATTCTCTTTCTGGATTATTTGTATTTGTCTTAGTATTATTATCTCTGTAATTTTGTGATGAATTCATTAATTGAAGCTAAACTAAACTACCATCACATGATGGTGTAAAGCCAATTTAGATTAAACATTTAGGAATCAATTTTTTTAAGGTTATAAGAGAAGTTGCAAAGAAAGTTGCACAAATACAAAATGGTAAGTCACTTGAATTGACTATAGCAAAGCCAATAAAAATATTAGATAAAGTTTGCTGTATTTTTGAGGAAAAAAGCTTTTTACCTAATTATATAAACATTCTGCTTTTTAGCTGGTCTTGGGGAGTTTCGCATACGCGATCTTAATGATGAAATTAATAAATTACTGAGAGAAAAAAGACATTGGGAAGACAGAATAAAGGAACTTGGAGGTCCAGACTATGGGGTAAGATTTCAGCTAAGTTAATCATGTTATGACAGGGTTCGTGCTACTCCTTAAACTCCTTGAAAACTCCTTGAATTTAATTCACGTTTTCAAAGGCACTTGAAAAGCTCTTGAATTTTATGATTTTAGCGAAACTCCTTGAAAACTCCTTGAATTTTTGCTTTGATCGTTACTTGCATGGTTCTGACATAGATCTACTGTCAGAAAGATTGGAAAGTCTGAAAGCTTGGCATATTTAGCTGAACATACTCCTTGCAAATTCATTTTTGGGTCCTTGTATACTCCTTGAATAGTCCTTGAATTTTAAGTGGTTACCTCAGCACTAACCCTGTTATGAGTGGACAATATTATAGAGTAATTTTTAAGAGTATTTGATGGTACAGTATATGGGTGCTATAAAGTTTGACTTTCACTAGCGCAAAATATATACTGTAATCATTGACATACATGTAACTAAGCACAGATAGTCTTTCACACTTTAGTTAACCAACCTGCAACATATATGATAATATTTACTTCTGTATGTCGTTATGCTCATGTTGTAAGTGAAAATCAGTATCAAGAATTACAGTACATCATGTGTCAACTGAAGAAAAGTTTGTTACCCCTTGTTTGTTTGTTTGTTTTGGGTTTTTTTGGCATTAATGATACCCCTTGAAAAAAATTTGATTGCCTGAGTTTTTCTTCCCTTTTCAGAAAATTGGTCCCAAGATGTTAGATCATGAGGGAAAAGAGGTGCCAGGGAACAGAGGATATAAGTAAGTATTGTACTTTTACAATAACTCTAGTGGTTAATGCATGGGTATCTGTATTTTTCATGATGATGGGCACCGTGACATTTGAACAGCATTCTATAACCAGTTGACCTGACTCATTATCTTTGATATCGTTCATCATATAGATATTTTGGTGCTGCAAAAGATCTTCCTGGTGTAAGGGAATTATTTGAACAAGAACGTAAGTGTGAATACGAAATTCAGCGTTTATGCATGTTAATGGTAAAACTGATAGTAATTGCATGCTTAAAATTTATCCTTGATAATGATGATGATGATTGTAATCATTATGGTAATGCTAAGCAAGATGGTGACTGCAAAGATAGAGAAAAGCAAAATTTACATTGTTTACTTTATGGCTTTAAGGAATTAGACTTGAAAAGTAATTATAAACTATTTTCTCAAGTTAAAAAAAAAAAATTAGCCACTAATCGTTTTCAATCAGACTTTGATGTTACATAGTTTTTTTTCCTATTGTTATCTCATTATGACATTGTTTTACTATTTTAGTTTGTATTTATTGACAGTGTATTTATTGTACTTATTTCATACTGTCCACTTTTGCTATTTATTATTTATATTGCAAAATAGACGTAAGCCCCCTTGTTAAGTCTCGTTGCTTTTGGGGCAGATGTTATGATAAATATGTTTAAAGAAAAAAAAAAAGAAAAAAAAAGATAAAGAAATAGAAAATGTGTGCACATGCTGTGTACAGTTATAAAGCATGTGGGGGTTGGCAGAACATGAGAGTGCTTCTCAACACTTCTTGAGTGTTCTGCCAATCCCCAAGTTCTTTATAACATCACACAGCACAACAAGCAAATTTTTTATTTCTTTTATAAAATACAAATTATGATGACTGTTATAATAGATAGAATGATGCAACTGAAGGTGCAGGTGTCTGCTGTGTGCTCTCATAAAGCACTCACTCCTAACCTGAATAAGAATGAGAGATTTTTAATAGTTACTTGATAATAAAGCATAATTAATAAATAAATGAATTATTCCCTTCAATACAGCGCCAAAAGCACCAAGGAAAACAAGGGCAGAGTTATACAAAGATGTTGATGCTGACTATTATGGATACAGAGATGAAGATGATGGTGTGTTGGTACCAATTGAACAAGAAGTTGAAAAAGATGGTAAGATCAGTAATTATTCCTACACTCAGAGCCTCTCCTTTTCTCCCTTCTTTAATTAGTTGGGGAGTTGTTAAACCTTTCTTTATACCCTGCGTTTAATAGGGTGTATAATGAGCATGATCGAATGTCATTTGACACAGTGGCTGTCAAAGTGATGTACAGTATTGGATTATGTAATTAGATTAGGATTTTGACAGTATTGCTAAGTCACCCTGGCATGCATGTGCAACTAATATATTGTTCTACATTGGCAGAGCCCATTTTCCTAGATTCATAGTAGATTTATCATTATTATATTTACTTATTCTTTTCATCAGCTATAGCAAGAGCTATGGAAGAATACCAGCGACGAAAAGAGGAAGAAGTAGATGAAGAAGAGGAGGAGGAAGAGGACATCTATGCTGTACAAGCTGGTGAAGAGGTAAAATGGACATCTCAACTCCATTTAATGCATTCCAGAAATGTTTTACAGTTTTTTGAGACAGTTATTGTGGACTGTGTTTTCATGACATTCCACAGGCACATGCCTTTTAAAACTTGGTGTTTTCTGACAATGTCATGGAGACACTTTGATTGATGAACACCAAAACCCTTTTGGAGATGGCAAATTTGTCATAACAGCAAATTGCATAAATTTTGCACATGGTATTGGGAAGCATTGTAAAACTGCCATTCATGAAATAAGTGTCATCCAGTTTCTGTTTTTCTTGAACATTTACTGCCACCCAGTAGCTCAGTTGGTAAGAGTGTTGGTTCAAGCCTCGGCTGGACCAACACTCAGGGTCTTAAAATAACTGAAGAGAAGGTGCTGCCTTTGTAATAATATCTGCAAATGGTTAGACCTTCAAGTCTTCTCGGATAAGGACTTTAAAGCGTAGACTCTGTCTCATACAAACATAAAAAACCTGTTGAATTATTTGTGAAGAGTAGGGGATTGCCTCCCGGTTCCTATCCCAATCTGGAGGTATAATACTAACATACTAACAAGCTTAACAGCTGTTACTAGCGCCTTAAGGTGACTGCCTACTTTTGGAAATTGATTTAA